GATAAGTCGTCTCCTATGGTGTTTTAGCTGTTAACCTTTCATCTCGAAGGTTCTTGTAGTTAATTAAGGTGAGCATGCATACTGTATTTTCTATATGTAATGTATTTATTTGATATTAACAAAGAAAAAGATCAGCATCACTTTAACAATGTATTGTGCAGATTATTTACTTAATACTTAATAATAATCTGAACACTTTATAAAATTTCATTTTACAGGAACATTAGAAGAACTCCGGATACCATTAAATTATGAAATTATCGAGCATTGGTTGTATTAGTCCTCATTTTCCCCGGAAAGTAGCTGTGCCCATGATTCTAAAGAAAGCATGAAAGTGCCTTTTTTCCGTTGGGAACGAAACTGTTAAATTTTCATCCTGGATGCTCTTGTAGTTAATTAAGGTGAGCATACAAGCTGTATTATATATATGTAGTGTATCTGTTTGATTTTAAAAGACAAAAGGGTACGGTGTTACTTTAACAATTTATATATGCACTCTACTTAGTAGGGGGTCTAAATTTATTATATTTGAATACTTTTTCGTAATATTTGATTTTACAGGGATGTAAGAAGAACTCCAGATGCCATTTAATTGTGGAGCATTGATTGTGTCGGTTCTCATTGACTCCACAAAGTGACTGTTTCTATGGTCATAAAGAAAGCATGAAAGTGCTTTTCCATTGGGAACGGAGACAATGTGCTGAAGAAGTGTGCTGCTGAAGAAGGGATTTATGACAATAAACTGGTATGTAACAGTATCAATTAAAATTAGTAAATGAGGGTCCCAGGAACTTGATTTCTTGAAGATTTGTAACTTGCTTCAATAGACAACTTTTCAGAAATGGAAACAGAATTTTTGTAGAACTGACCTTTCTATCAACATGAAAGTTAATTTCTAACTTTACCACTATATCGCCACATGAAAATATTACTGATTTACTTTCTTTAAAAGTGATAATTAATTACCTTTTCTTGCCTGTTTCTATATAGATTGTCCCACAAATGACGAGGGATTGCAGTTAATTTTGATGTTACTGAAGCAACCGATGCCTTTGATGTCTTCACATTGCAACTTTGTGCAGTTAACTTTTGCCGTAACAACAGAAGCAGTTGGAAATTAATTAATTTGGAAGAGACTGGAACAACAGATTGTTTGCAGTGATCCCTCCTAGATTTGGTTTGCTCATCACACTGGTAGACTTTAGAACGCCACTTTCTACAATTAAGGTGAGAATACGTGACTTCATTAATATTAATTGCTCTTTATTAATTTGTTACGAAGTTTCCGTTACAAGTACCTATTCTAAACAGTATAAATTGAGTTTATTATGTGCATCTATATCTCTTGACAGCTTTTATTTCCCACAGAATAAATTATCATTGATCTAACTATGGAGTTTATCTATCTATGGATTTTCTTTTTAACCTTTTGTCTATTGTCTGCATCGTAAATTGACGTCGTGTTATTTGACATCTATCTATGTCGTGATCTATGGTTGTGATATAAAATGGCGTTGAAATAACCCTTGTTATTTTATAATTCAACTAATTTTACTTGCTTTTTGATGCGTTTTTATTTGTGTTTCTTAATTATATGTGTAATTAATATGTTTTTTGTCCATTTCTGCAGGTTATACAATAAATGAGAGAGAATTAATGTTCAGTTTGGTTGTACTGAAACAGCCAATGTCTACATGGGTGTGGTCTTGGATTATATTCTTGATTTGCTGTTTCGTCTTCGCCTTGTAACATCATGCAGTTAATTTTCAACCCATGAGTGAGAGCAACTGGATATTTATTTGAATTCCACTGAAATAACAAATTCTCTGCTACGGTGTTCCTCTTGGAGTTGGTTTACTTTTCACACCTGTAAACTTTGGAATGTTACTTCTATAATTAATTAAGGTGAGGATACTTGATATACTTAATTTCAATTGCTCTTTATTAATCTGTTTGCCACCGTATCTGTTTCAGATCGACGTTGGAGAAGACAAAGATGACCCAGTAGTTGAAATAGTTCTTTATCTTGCATGCTCTATCTAGTAGAATTCATTAAGTTCGTTTTATTCAAATTAATTTTTTATTTTGCATGTTTTTTTTGTTTTTGTAGTTGTAGTTTCTTATAGTTTATTTGATTTAGTTTTTATTTTGCATGCTTATTTTTGTTCATTTTGT